CATATTAGTTCATTAACAAATAATAAATTAGAGTAGATACAGTATCTGTCACCTAAATGAACGCTTCTGTCAGATCTCACATGCCATTTGTATTTCTCTAAATACATATAATCAGAAAAAAAAAGTTTGCAGAAAATATTCTAGAATAACAAGTAAAAATATATTTCTAGGCACCTCTATGGAGGAGTCTTCAGTGGTCAGATTACAAGTGCTTTGGTCATACACATATTAAGGACAAATTAGAATTTGAAGAACTCTTTCTTGCACAACAAATCTGTTGCCAAATCCCCATTCACTTCTCATCCCAGACATCTGTAGATTTAAGTCTCAAATTTACAGACAGAAGAAGGGAGGGCTTGTTCTTTACTTGCCTGACCAGAAAATGCTCTTCTTACTGAAGAAATTGTACTGTTTCTGTACAGTATATACTCTATAAATACCTGAGTAAGTTTAAATACACGAAAATTAAATAAAATTTAATGGAAAGTAACTCTTATGGCAATATTCTTCCAAACAACCTGATCTTATGTCTCTTAATGCCTACAGCAAATAACTAAAAGACAAACAGAGAAGGTTATTTATTATTAACTTACAACTACTACCAGTTAGGTTATTTGGTCTGTGAAAGAGCAGTTTATGTTCAGATATGAAAATAGGACTATAATTAGAGAAATATTATATTGTTCTGTTTTATTTATATTGCTTAGAATTATGTTGTAGAGTAGATATTGTTCTCATGGAGTTTAGCTCTACAGCTTTTTTAGTTTCTTCAGTGAAATAAAGTCTTATGAAAATTAGATTTTTTTATCGGATTGTGAAAAGTCATAGAATCACAAAATCATAGGATATCTCAAGCTGGAAGGGACCCACAAGGATCCAGCTTCAGACTCATCACAAAACAGACTAAAACAAAACCATATGACCAAGAACATCATTCAGTTGCTTCTTGAAATCTGACAGACTTGGTGGCATGACTACTTGCCTGGGGAGTCTGTACCAGTGTCTCAACGAAGAACCTTTTCTTAAGGTCCAATCTGAATTTCCCCTGATGCAGTTTCATTCTATCACTGGTCACCAGTGAGGAGATCAGAACCTTCCCCTCTGATTCACCCCTTGAGGAAGCTGCAGGCTGTCATGAGATCACTCATCAGCCTTTTCTTCATCTTCAGGCTGAATAAACCAAGTGACCTCAGCCACTTCTCATAAATCTTGCCCTTGGGACGTGTCACCACCTTGCTCGCCCTCCTCTGGACACACTCTGATATTTTGATGTCCTCCTTACATTTTGATGCTCACAACTGCACACAGGACTTGGAGTGGGGCCTCACCAGTGCAGAGCAGAGTGGGACAATCACCTCCCTTGGCTGGCTGGTGATGCTGTGCCTAGGCGCCCCGGGACACTTTTAGCCCTTTTGGCTGATAGGACACACTTCTGACTCACTCAGATTGCCATCAATCCAAGCACACAGATCTCTTTCCGTGGGGCTGCTCTCCAGTCTCTTATCCCCCAGTCTGTATTTATAAGCAGAATTACTCCATTCCAGGTGGAATATCTGGTGCTTACTCTTGTTAAATTGCACACAATTGGTGATAGTCCAGCTCTCTAGTGTATCCCAATCTCTCTGTAAGGCTTCTCTACTCTCAAGAGGTTCCACAGCTCCTCCTCATTTAATATTATTTGCTAACTTACTTAAGGTATATTCAATTCCTGTGTCCAGATCATTTATAAAAACTGTGATATAGTTTGAAGCTGGCTCCCTGCCAAGTCTCCAAACCTTACCACAAGAAGTCATCCCCCCCCAAACCTCAGGGAGAAGAGGGAAAAAACAACCAAGAAAACTGAAACGAGAGAGAGACAGCTAAAGCAATATATATAAATGTATTTACACTTATGTTACAGTTATATACAATTGAAATATATATATAATTTCACAAGGGAAAGGAAGGGGGAAGGGAAAAGGAACAAAACCAAAATAAAATATACACATATATCCCGATTAGTAGCCCAATATCTAGCAACTAAAAGAATTGGCTAAAAAACTATCTTACTACTCTCCTTGGGACAATGGAGAGTGATGCTGGAACGATCGCCGGCAACCTCTGTCTCCCAAGGTCGGCAAGGCCCAACCAGGCCTCGCTCCCCAACCCAACAGACTCAACAGCAGGGAACCTGCACCTCCAAAGCCACTGGAAGGAAAGAGAGCGAAGGCCTCTCCTCCTCTCTTCTTATAGTCTGGCTTACGTAAAAATCGTAGGGAATACTGGGTAAATCTGGGCCCTTCCTTGGTTACAAACTGGTCACCAAGGAAGGCCTAACCCAAACTACCACAACACTGAAGAGCAGTGGCCCTAAAACTGAGCTCTGGGGAACCCCACTGATGGCTGGCCACCAGCCTGGTGTAACAGCCTTTACTACAACCCTCTGGACCAGACCCATCCACCAGTTGTTCACCCAGCACACTGTGGACTTGTCCATCTCTGTGCTGGACATTTTATCCAGAAGAATACTGTGAGAGACAGTACCAAAAGCTTTGCTAAAATCCCAAACCACCACATCTACCAGCTTCCCTTGGCCAGCTAGATGGTTGGCCTAGTCATAAAAGGAAAATATTTAAGCAAGATTTTACCTGAACCCAAGCTGGCTGTGACTAGCAATGACTGCACTGTATTTGTCACAGCCTCTGTGTGACACGTATTTGTCACACAGAATAACAGCCTCTGCAATTTTGGCAGGCACTGAAGTGAGGCTGACAGACTTATAATGACCAGGGTCTTCCTTTTTACCCTTCCTGAAAACTGGGACACACTTTGTCAGCTGCCAGACAATGGGGACCTCTCCAGACTCCCCAAGACCATTGAAAAATAATAGAGAAAGATCTCACAATGACATTGGCCATGCTTTATCTAGATCTCTATGTTTCTTCAGTAATTAGTATTAAAAACTTAAAGACAGAATATTTGTCTAGGGATGAAAGGGATAGCCTTGAGTATAAAGGAATTGTCAGGAAAATCAATAAGTCTTCCAGCTTCAGAGAAAGACTTAAAATTGTAAGCTTATTTGTTTGAGGTTTTTTTCATATTATAACAAAGATCACTAATGATTACAGGCTATGGAAATTATAGACGTTGCCATTGTCGTGAATGGGTGAGTGGAGGAAATAAAAATCATACTCTAGTTGAAAAAATGATATTAAATGAGGAGGAGCTGTGGAACCTCTTGAGCGTAGAGAAGCCTTATAGAGAGATTTGGATTCACTAGAGAGCTGGACTATCACCAATTGTGTGCAATTTAACAAGAGCAAGCACCAGATTTTCCACCTGGAATGGAGTAATTCTGCTTATAAATACAGACTGGGATGAATCCCACTGGTGCCCATGGACTTATATGGGCCCAGCTGGAGCAGCAAGTCTTGAACGAGTTCAGAGTCATCTAGGGGTTTATCAACCCCCAGTTGTGGTCTTCCAGCTCAAACTCCAGTGGTCCAAGGGTCCATCATCAGTGTTCAATACAGGGGCAAAGAAGGAACTGATTATCTTTCTACATTCCTATTTGTGAAGTTACTGACCTCATCAAGTAATGGACTGGGTTAATTCAACTTGTTACTTTGACTTCCCTTGGTGTTTTTGGCATCCATCTCGATTTTAGATTTTTTTTTGTGAAATGAAATCAACAGTGGTACAGGATCACACTAATGTGTGGTTGAGCTTGGAACTGCCTTGCCACAATACTTTAATGTCTTTTAGCTGTTGTGAAAATTTTCTCTCACAGCTTCTCTGCAGAGACATCTGGTCTTATGACATTATCTAGACAAACAAAACTTCAAGTGTCATCTTATAGCAATCTGAGACAGCAATTTTGGTTTTATGGTCTAGACAATTTTTATTTAAATAATGTTAAAACATACTTTTGTCCTGACAACCAAACCCACCTTTTATTGACCCTGACTAATTCAATACAAAATGATGTCTTTTCATCTGAAATTTAGACAATAATGTTTGCAAGCCTTTGTGTGAAAACTGATGAACTCATAATATTATCCATGTTTGTAGTTAATAAAGTGCCTTCAATGCAGGCATACACAGTACGAGTAATAATTCTACCTCATTATTCTCAATAGTTTTAGAAAAATATGCATTTGACAGGCATACTAATGCCTTCTGGAAAGCAGGTTTGGATAATATACACCACTTAGCAACAAAAACAACTTCTCCAATTTTCCTTCTAAGCCAGAACCAGAATAAAAACAAATAGGCAATTTGCATATCATAGCAAACAATTTGCATCAGGAGTATACAGGAGGAAGCAGCTCAAATGCACTGACCACTGCATTAACATTTTTGCTTGTTTCCTCTTCACAGTCTGAAGAGAAAATACAATTAGGGCTGTTAAGTCACTGAACAATTTACTTTGAAAATCTCTTGTAGGTAGAAATGAGTAATTTTAACACATTACTGAGAGGACTTTCTTATTAATGTGCGGGTCAGGACAGACTTGTAAAATAAAAACACTGTAATGGGTAGAAATCGTGGCAAGAGACACAAGAACTAAACAGAAAGATACAGAACAGTTTCTAGCATATATTTTAGGTGTCTTAAAAAACAATTGGGAGGTTAAAACAAGTTGTTATGTGCTTTATCTAGATCTCTATGTTTCTTCAGTAATTAGTATTGAAAACTTAAAGGCAGAATATTTGTCTAGGGACAAAAGGGATAGCCTTGAGTATAAAAGAATTGTCAGGAAAATCAATAAGTCTTCCAGCTTCAGAGAAAGACTTAAAATTGTAAGCTTATTTGTTTGAGGTTTTTTTCATATTATAGCAAAGATCACTAATGATTACAGGCTATGGAAATGATAGACATTGCCATTTCCCTGAATAGGTGAATGGAGCAAATAAACATCTCACTCTAGTTGAAAAAAATGTCACATCCCTCAGTCCTTTCTTTTTTACCTTGATATTATATGGAAAATTCAAACTTAACAAAACAATTATTATTTCTGTAAGGAAAAACAAGACAGAAATCACAGAGTGCTCTGTGAGCATACTTTACAGATAATTTCCCAAAGGAGCCAATGTCTCTCCACAGCTTGGGAAGGACTCAATAATCTCTTAGAGGACTGACCCTGAAATGGGCTCACTGTATTCAGGGGCCTGAAGGAGTCAATTTTTTAATATTCCTTTTCATTAGTCTTTCCATTTTAATTGGCTATGAGCAGAATGTCTCTTTGAAGAAATATAATGCAAAGGAAGAAGAATTAAGGATCGCAAGCAAGTTCCACGTATCTAAAAATGAGACATTTTCTTTTTGGACTGTATTTCTCTTGCATTTTTAAATTAAATTTTCTTTTACTCCCCCCCCCATTTTCACGAAATTACTACTCCATGATAATGGCATATTAGTTTTGTTCTTATTCTCTTAATATTCCCTATAATTTTTTAACCCCAAAAATTCTGTCCTTTTGTCAGTTTTCCCAAAGTATCTGTATTTTTCTCTTCTTTATACAGCTTACTTTGTTCACCTACAAACTTTATATGTATTCACGTGCAAAAAAAAAATGTAAGCACTTTAATGTAAATTTTAAAAAAGTAAATTTTTAAAAAGTAAATAAGTATTGCTCACAACTAGATATGCCTTGGTAAAATCACCTTAAAAAGAGAAAAGATGAGGGAAACCATCAAAGAAGCTACTGCTTAGTATTTTGAAAGTAGATGAATCTTGAACAGTGTCTAGAAAATCAGAAAACCAAAATTATAAGGAATTTAAGAGCCATGTATTGTATGATGCTCTCACAAAACTTGGTAGAAAAACCCATAAATGTGTCATTCTGCAGCACTAGCATACAGCAAGAAACATAACTCCTTTTAACAGGACCCAGCACAATTCTGAAAGGGCCAAAGAGATCAGGAGAGCTATGGCATGGATATCATGTGTATCTCTTCTGCTGTCTACAGAGGCTCTTGGAAGGGGAACAAAAAAACCAAAAGCAAACAAACAAACAAAACAAAACAAAACACACACAAAAAAACCAACCAAAAAATGCAAAATAAAAAACCAAAACAAACCAAACAAACAAAAAAAACAAAACAAAAACAAACAAACAACAAAAAAAAGAGTATAACCACGTCTCTTACTCTTACTGTGGTTGACAGACAAAGAAATGTTGCAACCTGGATGGCACAGAAGTAATTGCAAAAATATATTTGCAAGAGAAGAAATAAAATAACCCAAATATGATATGGGAAGCAGATACCCCCCTTCATTAAGACTCTGGTAATTCTTCTAATTTCATTTATTCAGCAATTGGTGAGCTGTCCTTTTCACCTACAGATATGATGAGTGTTCTGTCGTTTGGCAACAGATTTACAGTCAATAATATTGATAGTTTCTCTTTACCTGAATTGGGATCTTGCCACTCCTGAACTGTAAGGTTAATAAAGATAATAACTAAATGTGTTCTGTTTAATCCGACCAGAGGGCATATGGGAAATCAAAGAATGAAACATAGAACTAAACTCTAGTTTAGAAACACAGAACTACTGATCTAAATATATCAAAATACAATGCTACTGCACATGGCTAAATAATTCACTCACCCATAGGCATGCAGCTAATATATTACTATAATGATTTAAGTGTTCCTGAGATGACTCCTTCAAACATAAAAAGATTAACAACACAAAATGCAGCCTAGAATTTGGCATTTCAGTTCTGGAATGAAATCAGGATGCTGAGAGAATGAGGTACTAAATGCTTTGTGGCTTTGGAATATTTCCTTTTAATCTCATTAAGCAAAAACAAAAATGCTTCCTAACTGGAGAAAGATTTAACAACCCTGAACTTTCAGAAGAAACAGGGACATGTGCAAATTTACAGTGGTTTCCAATTTCTACACAAATATTCAATGAATCATTTAGTAAGCATTTCTGAATTCTCAAAGACTAGATATAAATATAATAATTTAATGAACCCATTCTTCAAACTTACTCAAATAATTTTACTTTATTTTAGAAACCCCCATGAATATCTTCAAGACAAATCTTTGGCAAACCCTCAGCTGCAGTTAATTATTTTATCCTCTTACGGTTAAACTTTGCTTTAGCTTTGCATGATGTGTCTTCCTGCCAAGATCCGGTCACTATAAATGTGTACATTTTTCACTGGATTTATCACTGATTTTTTTTCTTTAAATTATTTTTTAAAAGAAAATAGCTGTAATATTGAGGGCAAAAGCCATAGTCATATACTAAGTCCAACATTTCCAGGGTTTCTAAAGTTTCTTGTATAATTTTTCAAGTCACACATGACACTTTTAAATTTTGATGAGGCAAAAAATAGATTTGAAAAAAGCAGCAGTAATGAAGATGCACAAACCCCTTTATTTCTGTTTTTTTTCCCCCCACATTCTGTAACAAAAAGGATTATGAATTCAAATAGAAGCTGGCAAAATTTTCCAGTAATTCGGCTGCAGATTATTGATTACAAACTTTCTAAAATCAGAGTGCTGTGCTACTCAGCACTTCTAAATTATAGCAGAACTGAGACATTTGGGGCACAGTGCCACTGGTGGAAACACAGGCTCTAAAAGTCCTTCCAATGATAACAATACTCACCAAAGTTATGTAGAAATGTCATGTTATCAGAGAGAAAATAGACAGAATATCACGATCTCTTAAAAAGGGAAGAAACTTTAAACTATGTTTGTATTCAAATAGCTGCCATTAATTTTTTTGCTATACAATTTTCCTTTTCTGGTTCTGTAGAGGTAAACTTCTTTATTGTTTCAGCCATGACTGCAGAATATGCCCATAAGCTGACATTCAATTGACAAAAACATCCAAGTTTTACGGCACCTACCTCAAAGAAAGCTCTGCTGTAGCAAAAGAAAAGATTACTTGTGTTTTGTGATGTGACTGAGTATTTTCTAGTTTGCATTTCAAAATAGGCAAATAAGTCCCAGAGCAGCCAGATGAGGAAGAAAGATGGGTTTATAGGTTGGCCTAACCTTCTCACATACATCCTACACTGGCAGCTATTAAACAGAGTTCTGCAAAACCCTTATCCCTTCTCAGAAAATACACACCTGACCAAAATCTAGGAATGCTGGATCAGGCTGTGGATCATCAGTACCATGGAAGGAACAAGGTATGTGTACTTGGCGTAAAAAAATTCCAGTTTAACTAAAAGTTTTCTTCCCCAAAACACATATGGAGGGAAATTAGCAGTGAATGACCACTCACTGTCTTGGTTTCCTTTCACCAGATTTTTTGGACTGGCTTGGCCTAGCTGACAAGTTTGTCTTCCTCAGGAAAATGAAGGTTTGGAGGCTGCTCACAAAGACAGCAGGTCTGCTTTATCACTGCAAGCCTATTTTATAAATGTATTGCAGAATCTTCCTTTTATGTAGAATATTCAAAACAAGTCAGTCCTAAACGTCTTAGAAAGAAGACGAGACAGACCTTAACAGAACAGTGTATCCATTTCCATTTAGAAATTCCTACTCCAGAAAGTACTATTCTATTTGGTTATTAGCTAGATATTGTTATTAGATTATTAGATATATTGTACCTACTGCAAAAACACTGCGGTGTTCTTGTGCCAGCAGGAATGTTATTTCTCCTTCTCAAATACTTGCTGAACTCCTACAGGCCATAAACAAACTTTCATTCATGATCTCTGTACAGGACTTTATCTGAAGGAACTATCCTGCACTCATAATAATAGTATGTGGTAGAAATCAATATTTCAGTGGAAAAAGGAGGGGTTTTAAAGGCAAATTCCAAGCATGCAATTCAACAGTAACTACAGTCACTGTTGAATAACTTTGAGTTATTCTCAAAGGAATATATTCTTCAGGTAAGGTAAGATAATCTTTTTAAAACATAGTTTTATCATAGTTTTATCGCTGCCTTTTCTGGAATAAAGAAGGAAATTTTCCCATTACACCAACCATAAGAGGACAGTGACAATTTTCCCACTTTCATGGATCCCAGGGTTGTGGTGTTTTTAGAGGACAGAAACATAAGTTTGAATTCTAGTGCTTTTGGAGCTCATTATGGTTTGTGGCTGCTTGTGACTCAGAAGCCTGAGACCAAAGAAGAAAATGAACTTGCACTTCTGCCTGCAGGCATTGTGTCAGTCACTACCAGGCAGAAAGAAAAATTTTAGTATCCAAACATGGAAATTGTTAGATACATTAAGCTAATAAAGCCACAATCTGTTTAAATCCTTGCCTGTGCTTGCTTTTAGGTGGCCCATGTCCAAATCAGAGATGAGAGTGATTATTTGGAGTCTATCACAAACCTCTGATGGTGGCAGGCTACACAGGAGCTTACAGGTGACAGGCTATTATCATATAGCTACATATTTTCTAAGCTCTCTGCTTTTGTAGAGGTGGCAGCTTCACTATACAATTTGCATAAAAAGCAGCATTTTCTAGAAAATAATTCTGAGGGACTTGTGTAATGTGAAAAGCAGAAAGCAATTCTGTTTGTTCTGCAAAACTGTGTAAATTATTCCTTCCCGGTTGCCAAGTAAAGGAAATAGATTATCAAGCTGAATAGTTGCTTAATTTCTTTATGTTGTAACAGTAGTCAGGAAACCAATTTGCTTTGTCTTCAAAATCAATAGCATTGTGTTCTGTGTTCCAGAAAATCAAAAGACAGTCACTGTAATATATTTAACAGGACTTTTTTTTGTTTCAGGATACTTTTTTTCCTTTAGAGTTCATTGTTGTAACAGTTAGGCATTGGAATTGGAAAAATTACATTGGAAAAATTAATTGGAAAAATTACATGGAGTAAAAGATGTGCCTGAAAATTCCAAATTCAAAATTAAAATCATTCAGACAACTGTAGTGTGATTATTTCTCAAACATTAAAAAACTGTGCCATAAAATTATTGGTAGGAATGCATCGCCCAGGACTGAGAAGTTAGGAACCGTACAACTAAGGTGTTGAGAAACCCTTTAATTGCCCACCTTGTGTGTGCAATAGTAGCAGAGTTTTTAGTTACATGCACTATTTTTTTTCCCTGAGAATAACTGTCTCACTCCATGCTTACTTAATGACCAGCTACTCAGAATTTTTTTCCTTACAGCATTTGGTGAATGACTCCATGGTATATTTACAACACGTAATTCAAGAGCAACTCCACTAAGGAAATGATGACCTCTCATCAGCTTTCCTGGAAATAAGGTTAATATAGTATCTAAAATAAGAAATAAATGTCTTTTGGAAAAAGACATTACATCTTGCTGATCTTCATGTTGTTAATTTTGACAGCTTCTGGTAATGAGTGAGGTATTTTCTAGCTAGTTCCTATACAATTCAATTTCTCTGATTTCAGCGTGGATATATTTCAGTTTTAATTATTGTTTGATTCCAAGCTGTGGATTTATTTTTATTTTATATTTCCTAGAGTTTTGCTATATATAAAGCACTTTTTAAGGTAAAAATATGGATTCCAAATTTTCAGTTCATTATTTGTTCAGATCTTACTAAGTAGTTCCATTAGGCAGACAAACTGTGAGTGCTGAGCAGCTACTGTTACACAGGATTTGAAGGGGGAAGACATATGACCAAGTTTTCCAATAACAATAACCAAGAAATCTTCATTCCTCATTGTGGAATCTTGGAGGAAGAGGGAATAAGAGAAAATATTGCTGTTACAATAATTCACAACAGATTTATTCTGAAAGTCTCTGAATTTAAAATTAAAAGAAGCCCACAACTATCTGACTTTGTTTTTCAGTGTGTGAAGAGAGAAATACCATGCATTAATCTAACATTTCCTTATACTTTTATTTTATGACAGGTTCATGTGTAGTTTAACAAATATGTCATTTAGTTTGTAAAGACTCCACAACTTTGTGAATAGCATGTAAAAACATTATCTTTAAAGCAGTAAACAACAAGTTTCCTGTCTGGCAGCATTGTTAACAGCATCAGTGAGTGTAATTCCTCAGACACAGCTTCAGACCCACAAGGATGTAAAGACTACCATTGTTGGCCATATTAAGCTATTTTTTCATTTACTTTTAACGAAAGATCAGTTGTTATTTTAACTACTCTCTCACTGGCTCCACAAAAGCAGTGCTTTTGTCTCTATAAAACTTCCAGAGTTCCAGAAACCAAAATCAACACCTGTGCATACAGTGAGGCTCCACTTGAAAGAATACAGATGACAGTCAATTAACTTACTACTTTATGTGCTGTTTATTGTAATATTTTTTTCAGTGGTTAAAAGAATCAGTCTCAAGATAGTACATATGAAAAGAAATAAAAGTAATATTTTGCTCATACTAATGAAGACAAGCCATCAAACTTTGACCTTCTCCTTAGATTAATTGTCATGGTCCTGGTTCAAACGTGAGTGTCATCAGCAACAGTTTTTTAACATCAATTAGGGGGCATTAAGTAATTAATAATCCTTAATAATTTCTACTGATCTACAGATAAATATTCTCAATCAGTAAAAAAAATATTCTCAAACCAGTAAAAAAATACTGGTATCTGACTCAGTTATAGCAACTCATGAATCCTTTACAACTTGAGGTTGGTATGCTCAAAAGTCCTTTGTAAAACAAAAGCATTTTCTTTGACATTCTAAATCTGTTGATTCATTTTGAAATAACGTCCAATATGTGAAACTTTAAAAGGTGCCAGTGGGATTTTGACCCCAAAAGACTTTTTTATTAAGAAAAGAGGACAAAAAAAGAGCTACAGTCTCTTTTTTTTTTTTTTTTTGTTGATCTGGGACAATTATATTTCCATCTGTACAATTAGACGAGAAAACCAAAAAAGATCATTTACTGCCTTACACAAATCATCTATATAGCAAAATATATGCATGGCAGAACCATAATATGACTTTCTCCTTGCTGCAGAAATCTGCATCATTGCACAGCTTTTCCAGATGTTTTAGGTGCATTCCCTGTGCATTTATGAGACACAACATTTGTTATCCTATATTGAGCAACCAGACTTATAATTTTTTCAAGGCTTTTTGCAGACACTTTGAAATATCAGAACCATATTCTGTCTAGAAAGAAAGCAGTTGAGTAAAATTACAGCCAATTTATGCAGTTAAAGGTGTACTTTTCTTTAAACGTTTTACAGACCATTCCCTTCTCTGATATTGTAGTTAGTTTGAGGTTTCACTGCAGATTTTCCAATTAATTTTTCATTCCTTAAAAGTTAACAGCAATGTTTGTGAGATGTTTTGTTTCTTAATGCTAAATAATAAAAAAAAACTATCTTAAGGCTGTTAATAGAAAGGATATTAGTTTAGAAATATTAGACCTTCACTTAATCTTAAAGAAGATAGAACATGACTTTAATTTCCAAAGCTATGCAAAAACAGGGCACCCATGCCCACAAGATTTGCTCTTACACAAGTATTCCAATTATTTTCCAGAAAGAAAAGAAAAAGAACATCGAATAAGGTGGAATTTCAGCTGTTTCTATGTATCTTTTCCTGGGTGAGGACTGATTTCAGACTGTTAGGGCTCTTACAAAAGATGAGCTTAAATGGCAGAACTGTAACATCTTTGTAACAAATTTCCCTGCTGTAATACTGAAATAATGCAGAAATATTATTTAACAATTTCTCTCATTATTCAGTGTAGCAGCTGCCTTCTAGGCAAAGAATGCTACTTACTTATATCTTAAATGCTTTGAGAGTACTGGAGAATATCTATGTGCAGGAGAAGGAATGAATAAAAACTGAGATGTGAGGGGTGAAGTGGGTCCATGGCTTTTGAAGGGTTTCCTGGTGCAATCTGATTTTATAAATATGAGGATATTATTAGAGACATTTAAATTAACGACAACACTGGAAATCTTCCACCACCCAGTCATCCTGAAGGATTTTGGTCCTGATCCAAGTTTCTTCATATTTAGAGCACCACAAATACTGTTTCTGTGTTCTGGCAACTGTGCTATCAACGTGTAAATTAATCTCACATAAAAACCAGCACAACCAATTCTTGCACTTAATCTTGAACGCAGCAGTGAGAAAACTGAAGCTTCAGTCATTCCTAAGGAAAACAGAATTTGCTGTTTGGATCACAAATAACATTGTGGGTGCAAATGATTATTTTCAATAAAATAGTGAGATATTTTACTGAAAGATTTATCTGTGGCTTTTTGCTTCAAGGCAGATAGAGAATGTCTGCCTCCACTGGCACAGGGCAAATATCTTTAAGCAAATTATGAGAATCAATGTTAGTTACTCTAAAAATACATTTCTACTTACTAAAAAAGCTAGTTCATCTATTGTTATTTGCACTGCCATATTATTCAGAGATCCCATTCAGTTTACAATGTCAGTAGCCCTGAACAGTGGAAAGGCTATTATCCTATCACCAAAGAGTCTAAGGAGTAATAAAGAGTGGCAGGATAACAAAAAGCATGTGGAAAAATATGGGCCATACAGGTTCAGTGACCACGTAGCAATGGAATGTATAAGGGAGGCAAAATTTTAGCATATTTCTGGTTTTTTTCTTTTCATGGAACTCCAACTGCTTCTTCACTCTCTTCAATTTTCATCCAGTACCATTTTCAGTGTGGTAGAGGCACAAAAAATTTCAAATAGTACGCCATTACAAGTGGAAGAATGTAAGAAAGGAGTAGGATCAATATATTAAAATACTACAACTAGCAAATATTTGGGAAGGTATTTTTTGTCTGTGAAGTTCACAGTACAAATAGCATGCTGGTTTTACTCTCAGCAGTTTCAGTGAGGTACATTAGTTAGTTTAGACATTTGGAGTAAAATGTGTATCTCAAATTTGTAATTAAATCTTAGGATGTCAATATGTGTTGCCTCATGCTTGACTAAGATGAAAACCTGCATATGGCATTCAACATTGAGTTTTAATTGCATCCTAGTTAAAAAGTATCAAGTCTGGCTTTAAAACCAAACCAAACAAACAAAATAACAAACAAATTAAACCCCCTAATCTTCCTCAAATATTTGTGTGGTTAAACAGGAACCTACTTTTCTCGAAAGATGTGTTAATTGCATCTAATTGCCTAAAAGCAGTGGAATTACACTAACAGTAAAATCCAATATTAGCAAACTGTTCTATTCAATCATACAATATTTCTGTCTTTGACAACAAATATTATTTTAATTTGATGGAGCAGTGATCATTTTGTTACTGCAGAGACTGTATCTTCCCCAGGGCTTGTTAATTATTTCTTTCAAGTCCATCAAGTCAGTTGATCATTATTCAACTTTGTTTCTGTTCTATAATCCAAGTGATTTTAAAAGTACACAAAATTTCACTTGCAGAGGGTGTGAAGTCCCAGCCTTAAGGGGAAGGGAGCTCCCAAGATTCATAGATGCTCATGGTTGAAAGGAACAGCAGAAGTCAGAGGGCCCACAAAAGCTTACAAAGTTCTATTGGTAAATTATACACTTGGCATGGAAATAATTATGTTAGTGCCTAATTTCCTGGTACAAGCACATGGAAAAAATAGAAAAAGAAGGGAGGAAAGGAAAGAAGAAAAGGAAAGGAAGGGAGGAAGGAAGGAAGGAAGGGAGGGAGGGAGGAAGAAAGGAAGGGAGGGAGGGAGGAAGGAAGGAAGGGAGAGAGGGAGGGAGGAAGGGAGGAAGAAAGGAAGGAAGGGAAGGAGGAAGGAAGGAAGGAAGGAAGGAAGGCTTCTTGGGGATACCTTTTTATAGACAAGTTTTCCTTGCCCTGGAGATAAGTTTCTCACTTTCTGTGCAGATTCTTTATGATATGCAGTCCATTCTTCTCGATCTCTCTGGAAATGTGTTGGAGGACTTCAGGGGTCTTTGATGGTCTTGATCCTTGCCTACAGTCCATGTCTGCTTCTGACCTCACTCCTGCACTTGTGTTGTGCTGTGTTAGGCTTATCTTGTCCTGGAAAAGTGCTGCCCTCTTTCTGTATGGGTCCCTTTTCCAGCCACATCCTGTGATTTCTCACAGTGTTATTAACAACAATCCTTAGCTGGCTCCATAGACTTTCAACCATTGGTCTTTAAGACATGTACATTATCCCCCTTATCTTCCAGGTTTCTAGAGAAGGCAAATCAAAACCTTGGAATTCAGTGAGAGTTTGGGGAGGAAGGAACAGGAAGGTGATAACTCATCATGTTGCTGGCATTAATCCTTTTGCATTTCTTAGAGAGATTTTCGTGATTATCTGGACAACTAAGGTCATGCAAGACTTTAACAAGAGAGAATTTTGGATTTGTACAATATCCTTCTGTAGAGTTCTCCCATCTTGATGTCAGGTTTCCAAAGGAAGATGATGTGTACCAAAGGCCAGAAACCATTAGGGTTCCATAAACAGAACATAAGAGTTGGCATATACTTTCTACAGGGAAGATCCCTCTTTTGATTGTATTACTGTTAGATGGGTCTAAAAGTTCTACAGTCAAGGGGGCAGCCTAGAGTTCTACAGCCCCCACAACTGCTTTGTGAACACTGGAGAAGTTGGTAATTATATAGCTGCTGCCACTGCTATGTAGGTGCTTCTGAAGGGGAAAATGTGAGAAAGAGAAAGGTAAGTAGAAAGTTATTTAGTTGTAAAAATAATACATATTTCTGGAAAAAAAAATAAAATTTTTCTGCTCAAAGAAACACTCTTTCATTTAGCTTTAGAAACCTCTGTCATCTCCTTCAGGATAATACACAATAGATCCACCTCTTATATCATCCTTATTTTGCTTCCTTTCACCCAGCATCCATCTTTTACTCTTCCCAGAGATAAAAAATACCTTTTTCTTTCCCCTTTATGCCTATCCCTCTTTTCCTTACATGGAGCTCTAAATGAAATTCATAGTTCTCATTATATTTTGTCCAAATCTCTTACAGGTTGTTTTTTTGTTTTGTTTGTGCAGCTGCTGTTGTTGTTGGGGGTTCTTTTGAGTGCCTGTCATTTTCATCTATTGTCAAACACTGATAGAAATTAAAATAAATTTTCATTTTGTGTACTGTATTAAAGGAAGAACATGAGAATGGACCTTTTAGCCCTCACTAGAATATTTACTGGCTCTGTCCTCTAAACTTCAATTCTCTTAAACATCTCATAGCTACTTATTTAGAATATCATAATGTGCATTTACTTACACATGTGATTGTGTGCATGCATACATATATGTATATATCAATTTATATGCATATATATATAAATATATATATACTTATATGTGTGGGCAGCGACAGAGATACATTAATATCTGGTAACATTTTCATTTATATATTTCAATTTTGAACTTTATCCTGAACTGAAAGGCTGACAGAGTCATTTAATCCAGTGTTGACCAAATGTTACCCATTGCTCAGAAACAGAAAAATCTGTGTTTAGTAGCATATAGGAAATTACCTTTTTTGTTTGGTTGGTTTGTTATAACCACGTTTACAGCAGGTTATCAGAGAAAAAAATATTATCTAGGATTGCTAGAAATAAAAGAATAATTAACTGTAAGACAATTTTTTTCCTTTAGTAAAAA